CAATTGTTCTCTGCCATTCCTGAAACCTTGACCTGTGGCTTGGGACTTAAGACCCAAAGCCACCAGGACGAAGGTAGACTGGTGTATCTATATTATTTTGTCTATATAAAAAATAAAAACAAGAAGACTTAGAGAAATAAAAATATATATATATTACAAAATGAAGCTAAGAAAGTGGTAGCTAAAGCTAAACGAAATGCATTAAATGGTTTGTATGAAAATTAGGTACAGAGGAAGGTGTAAAAGATATTTACAATTTGGCAAAAGGTAGAGAGAGGTTGACCAGAGAGATATGGATCAGATAAGATGCATAAAGAAAATGTATCAAAAAATATTTTTTCCTGAATGGGGTGATTTTATAGAAAGAAAACTTAGAGAAGTACAAAGAAAGGTGAGGGCATACCCTCACTTACAAAAGATGGAAATGAGAAGGACCATTTCCAATACATAGCCAAAGTAATAAGAAAAAAGAGTAGGAAGTATAAAATACAATGATAAAGCATTAAGAAGGGGAGAAAAGATTAAGGAAATCCTACAGTTCCAGTCCCAGCATCTAGAACCATTCCCAGAAGAGCACGAACATTCTAGATGATGGAAGGAATATTTTCAACCACTATTAAATGAGGAATATTCTAGAGAAGAAACTAAGAGTAATAAGCATAATATAGGAATGATAAATATGATCAATACTAGAGATATAAATCTTGCACTTAACAAGATGAGTAATAATGAAGCAGTAGGGCCCCATAATAATACCAATAGAGGCATGTGACTAAATATTTTTAAGTTGTGATATGAGTCTAACTTTTCTGTTAAGAAGGCTACATGGGTGTACCTAGAAAAATCATCTACCGTAAACTGTCTCTTACCACTTAAAAATTGGACCCACAAGATTCATGTATATAAATTCAAGTGGTTTTGACTTATCTATTATTTGAATTCTTTTTCTAATTCTCATGTGATACTTTTATTTGATTACCCCTTTTTACATGGACCACATGCCCCAGCGAGTGATTTGTTAAATTTAGGCAATTATCTAATTAGATGATGCTTGAAAATTTTCACAACATTTTTATAGTTCTCATGACCAAATCACCTATACCATAGCATTATAGTACCAGTTTGAACACCATAAAACACTAATGTAGGTTCTAACTATATGATATAACGGTTGCCTATTGACCTTGTCCCTTTTTGGGTACTATTTCCTTCCTTTTCTATTACTAAACATTCGTCGTATGTGAAATAGACTTTTTGTTGTTTATCACATAGTTGACTAGTACTAATTAATTATCATTTAGCTCATCTACATAACAATTGCCTTCTAACTCTAGAATTCCAGGAAATTTTACTGTTCCATAGCCTACGACCTCTTCATGGGCCTAGAACTATCGAAATACCAATATTTGGTATCTTTTGAAAGCACCATGCGTATTACTAAGCATTCGACCTCTTCTTTTATCATAAAAATTTTCTTTTTATTATAAGTGATTTGTTTTTTATTTGTATCTAGACTATTAATTGGGGAAGTATTAATTAACTTTATAGTTCCTAGAGTCATTTCTCTAGAGAGAGAGAGAGTTTTATGCTCTCCTTCCTATTAAGGTCATTTATCCGTTTAGTACATTTAAAATTTAGGGAGGGTGGTGAAGATGTGCACCTACCTAACTAAACAAGATAAGAACCCTATGATTGCATTCCTGCTAGCACTACAAAAAGCTCCGCTCTTAACGCCCATACTACTGCTCCTCAACTTGCAAGTTCAGGTCAGCAGACAGTCGAGATTCTTGGCCGCAATGCTCACGCAAGAAGCTAACAGGACTAGAATGCAAAAAGAGATGAAAGAGTCACGGTTAGGCTTTATTCTGCCATGTCTTCAAGAGATGTCATCAAGACACTTTGACAAATTCCAACAATATTTTACTAATTAAGTTTAGTTTGGCAACATATATTGAATTTTGCTGCATATTTAATATAATAGAGCAAATGTTATTTTTAAAATATGAATAGATAAATAGTGAAAAACAAAATAGAACATCAAAATGGTTCAAAAATCCAACAGAGACTGAGTAAATAAGCAATTTCAAAAAATAAAAGAAACATTTTAAGTTAACAATTAACAAGAGCATTTAATGCACATGCGACACAATGTTAATAAAAAGAACTTGTCTCTAACAAACCCTTCTTAGGTCCAAGATCTTTTAGCCAAAAGAAGGGTTAACAATCAATGGCCTTCAGCAACTCAAGCAACAAATCAGTATCAGGTTTTATAAAGGCCAATCAACATCAATAGCAATAGTACAATTAGATCATCAGAGAAATACTCTACACAATTAGTTAAGAACAAAAGGAAAAATATAAAAAATAAAAACTACCCGACTTAATGAATGAGAATTATATGATTAATATTTACAGGGCATCCCATCGCCTAATGAATCCAGGATCATTGTAGCCTCACTAACTAACTAACCATCGTAGTAATTCCAGACAACCAATACTGCAATTGACCAATACTGAGAAAAGGCTGGATGTGAAACAACTGGAAGTCAGAAATAAGCTATAAACACAAATAAAGGAAGCTTAATATTGAGAGTCCAAATATATGTTAAATCAACATTACAAAAGCATTTAGTCCATATACCTGAAGTATGTTCAAAAATTAGGATAGATGCTTCCTCAACACTAGCAACCAATCAACGCCTGGATTAATGTCTTAAAAAACATATTTGCCAAGATAACAATATACCTAAAACCAAATGAAGCAGCAAAGTTCATTCCAACTATAGAGAGTAAGTTCTATAATAGAAGTATGATACAAACTACGCTGCAGCCTTTCCGGTGACAGAGAGAGACTGAAATGAGCCTTGAACAGTACCCATCGCCAGGTAAGTGAAACCTATCATTGCCCGAGCCGTCCAAAATCAGGCTACCAAGAATAATTCAATACTATTTCCCTTCACTGGATAGGGTATGGGAAAGATGTAGACAGCAAAAGGCCCATTTCGTTCGCAAACACCAAGGAAAACTCAACACCAACAATAGCCAAACATGATCCCAAGCAATGCATGTACCGAATCATACATCAATATAAATTAGCAACAAATATTATGAAACTGACATATCCAAAAGCAAATGCGGTCATGTCATATCACATTCAAAGACAGGAGGATTGTTCAACATAAGGTATAGGCTTCTACCTATCAAAATAACAAAAAAGGGTACAGGCTTCTTACTTATATCACATAAAAATCGATAACGAAGTACTCTTTTAAGTTATCCACATTTCCAATTATATACAGGCATCGCTTCTGAACTATATATCGAGTTAAAACAAGTTGCATGATAAATCAAGCTCTTACAAGACCATTTTTTGTAGAATCATCATAATTCTTAAGGTAGCATGAAAATGTAAGTTCCTCACTTCACTTAGGACTTGTAGCCTAGACATTAACCATCAAAGTACCATTCAATTGTATGCTATAACCAAATCAGATGTCAACAAATACGGTGAGTGTATCAATGCAACCTTCAAACAAAGCACACAGTGGAGTAAGGTGCAAGTGCATAATTGTATATCAAGAGCTATGAACAAAATATATGAAATGGCTATACATGAAACATTCTACAAACCAAATAGGTAGGTAACAAAATTCAATGAGCAAGTGAACCATGTATGGAGCAGCTTATAGTGAGACAATATAAGTAATGTTTCCACTAGCCATATGTTGGGATGATTGAAAAAGAAAAAAGTTTTAGGACACCAAGTCTAATAAAGCAAAGTATACCTAATTTTTAAGATCCCAGCAGTCATTTACTGACAAATTTCAAAAAAGTAAACGGACCATCTATTGAAACAATAAAAATGCTTATGGAGGAAAGCGGGTTCCAAACAATTAGCCTGACGTCCCACATATCAAGACAACATTGTAGCTTGAGATCCCAACTAGAACATATGACAAAGCAATAAAAAATTTCCGCACCACCCCTAAAATAGAATTACAAAAGCAATAAGAATCAAGTTTATTAAAGATAAAGGAGTTTGAAAAATAAAACTCAAAATTAAGCTAGCAATTATGTACTAAAGCGATTTAACACACGTGTTATGGAAATCTCCGCTACAACTTAATTGCCAAAGAATTTAAGCCCCAAAGGGCTAGTCAACAATACACTTCTGCAAACCAAATAGATACTAGGACTAATACAATCACACAAGGGAACTACTACACCTAAAACTTTATGGAGAAACTTGATTAGAAAAATAGAACCAGTCAATACATATATTTTTTAATAAGTCTGAGTGAATCCGTAATAGGAGATGATAACGCCAACAGTCTAGAAGAGCTATCCGATTTGTCTATTTTTGTCCAACAATTGGGGTAACGCTCCTCTTGCCCATAAACCACTTACCTTAAAAAATGAAAAATAAAAAAGCCAGTGAAGGCGGGATTCAATCACTAGTATGAATATCTAAGACTTTACCCAATAGACCAGTTGGCACTTTAAATTTCCAAAACTTTACACATAAGCCTTTACAAATGCTCGGCCATTACGTTACACTGATACAACAAAATGGTTACCCCTTACATTACATTGATACGACAAAACGGTTTACCCCTTACGCTACACTGATAAATCGCAGAGAAAAAAATTCACATTTGTAATGTTGTTACACAGTATTAAGACCCATTACAATTACAAGTCATGATTTTCTGTACCTCATAATACTTTTATAGGTGCAGAATTCAAAAAATAATTCCATCTTAGTTTTACAAATTTTCATTTCTTTTTTTCACACAATATTGATCTTCATCTCACACTTATTTACTAATTCCAAATTAAAATTGGATAGAATGCATGAAATGTCAACAAATGGAATTTACAAACCTATCAAATAGGGACATACCAAGAAAATCAAATGCATGGAATATAATATCCTTCATGAGCTCATTCTAAATCTTTGAAAGATAACTATCACACATCAATCAATCAAAGAAAGTAGATAATACTGAAACAAAATATGATGTATTCAATTTCTATACCACCGCGTCTATTCACACGCCAACATGAGTCATCTACATCAGCACATGCACCACACAGATACTACCAAACTGATAAGAGAACCAGCTTAATTACCGGGTGCCCAGAACCACATCCCTACACTCACATCTACACTATGAAAACAGTCTTAACGGTAAAACAAAAAAGGCTAGACATGCCAAAAAAGGAGAGACCCAACATATATATTAGGGAAAACATACTCCTAAGACCTTGTGATCATACTACAAGAACGAGCCAACCGGAATGTCAAGCTCCCTCCATCCAAAGTTGCCTCCCCCTCAATGGGATTGTAGTCATATTGCTTCCGGCATCCGGGACAGCGCCCATCCTCCTCGATAATCCTCTTGTGGCAGAACAGGCACAGATGGAACCCGCATGAACAAGGGAGAAAACTTGAGTCTGTGAAGTCCAAATCTTCGAAGCATATAGGACATGACGAAGGTGCAGGTACAACATTCTTACTACCCCATGCAGAGCCTCCACGACCACAATGCCGGTCTGAATGCATGGGGAAGCTATGCTGCTTCGATAAATTGGGCAGACTCTGGGGACGAAAGGCATCATCAGGCCTCCAAGCCCGTCCATTCATGGGAGCTCTCTGCACCATTTCCGCACTCTCCGGCTTTGGCTTTGATATCTCAATCCCTGAAGTGGACCTTTGGGTCAACCCAGGAAGAGAATCCAATTGGGCATTTGTTTCGCACGCTGGTGGCAGTTCCGAACTAGGGTTATGCTTCTCCTGCTGCTTGTCATCAGTAGCAGCCATAGCATCGGCAACAGTCTCCCAATCATCCGTGCACCCATCATCTCCTCCTTCATCTTCTTCAGTTATGCTTCCGGAATAACACCCACCACTACTACTAGTGCTACTGCTGCTGCTTCCGGTAAAATTCGTACCGGACTCGTTACTGCCCAATATACTACTGATGTGGCTGGTGGGACTGTTCGAAGGCGACTCTGAATCACTGTAATGATGGATCGATCCATCATTCTCTTCACCTCTCTGCTTTATCTCCAAATTCTCTATTGATCGGTCGCTCTCATTGCGTGCATGCATCGGCCGACCACTAATTCCACGACCGTCAGATTCCTCTTTCTCTCCCTTGTTCTTAACTGTGTATAAAAAACACCCAGTCCCGTCTCAAATCAGATAAACATATATTCATATATACGTATATATAAACCCTTCTACACTCGATTATAGAGGGGAAAATATGGATCTTCTACATACCTTGAGAAAGCCACTGCTCGCGACGAGCATCAAGCTTGCACTGCTTCAATTTCGCCGACCTGTTAGCCTGAAACCGAAATCAAAAAACAGAAAATTTTTAACAGATTGAAGAGATAAATGAAACGAAATTCATGAGAGAAATACTAGTAATTGAAAAGAATCAACCACGATTGAATAGCCATAGAACACAAAATTGTAGAGAGAGAAAGAGAGACTCGTGAAATGAAATTGAAGACTGGAATTGAAGAACTCACCCTTTTTTTCTTGGCGAAATCCTTGGCATTCGAGGCCGACATAGGAATCGAAGCGTTTGCGACGGAATCAGAAACCATTTCGAGTCGAATTGATTCCACAGAACAGAGATTTGAAAAAACCCTAATTCAATCGGAGAAAGATCTCGACAATCTAGAGAGAGAAAGCGATAGATAGGTTATAGAGAGAGAGAGTGGATAACGGGAACTCCTCTGTTTCGCTCGCCCTTTTTCAGAGACTCTAACAGAACCTACAATCCTGCGGCCAAATATATAATCGTCGCGTTACCATTTTGTCCCTCGTTTCAACCTAATTTTCCGTGTGGACCAAGAGGTGGACACGTATTTTAGCGATAAAACGTGGGAGGAAAGTAATGCGGTGGCAAAATTACGAGCTAGAACGCACCATGTGAAAACAACGGCGTCGTTTGAAGTGCGCATGAACCAAAATGTATTGACACGAACTTTGGTTATTATGTAATTACCTAAAATTAAATAATTTTTTTGGCTGGTATCTGACTGCGGATAAATGAATTAATTAGAGTTGAAATTATTATATATGGCATGTTGAAATTTTATTATGGCATGTTGAAATTTTATAGGAAGTTTTTTCTTTTTTTTCTTCTTTAGAACACGTGTATCAGTCTCACAATACACACATTGTTCAAGTTAGGAGTACGATTTAAAAGCGAGACCTCAAGAACTTGTCTCTCGAATCCCTGCCAAAGCCGCCATGCGAATATAATTTTATAAAAATTATAGTCTACTTATCTATTTTATTTTATTTTTTTAGTACTGTCGAACTGACCTCAACAGCACTCCTAGAATACATATCGAACACTTTATTTATACTTCTGAAAACTTTTTCGAGGCTTCCTAGACACTTGGAGAACACTTTTCAATATGTCTAGCACAAGTTTTATATACCCAAATACATGAAAAAGAATAAAAATACATTCTAAAGTGTTCAAAGTTTTTTGAAAATAAAAATTGTTATTATATATATGATTAAAAGTGAAGTACAAATTGATATTTGTTAAAAAAAAAAAAAAAAAAAAGAAGAAGAAGAAGAAGAAGAACTTTGTAGCACTCTTATTCAATAATGGTATAACTTCATTTTCTATATCTTGCAAGTGAAACTTTAATATAGAAATTAGAAATTAATTAAAATTCTATAATACTCTTATTTAATAAATATATAAATAAATAATTCATATTTATGTATAGCCGTGTTTACACCATACCGAGTTCTATTTTTTTAAAATTGTGTGTGTCATTCGTATTGTATGGTGTCCATGCGCTATCATGATGAGTTCTAAAACCCATATATATATATATGGTCATTTAAAGCGAAATAATTTTATTTAAGAATTATTGAAGCCTAATTTCTTCTCACATCACTATATTAATACAGTATAATAATTTCTATTTAAAAATTATTCTCTGTTCCTAACTTGTTGTAAGGTTAAGGAAATATAAAAATACTATTTATGTTTTTAGATTAAGTGATTTAATTGATGTGTAAGGGAATCAATAAATTACAAAGTCCAAAAGGAATATACAACGTATGGAAGAGAATTTAAAAAATAGAAAAGTGAAAAAAAAAGTGAAATTGTTGAGAAAGAAAAAATAATGTAATTATACGATAAAACCTTTCAACTTGTATTAACCAATAGATGAACATAGGTGTTTTATTTTTTGTACTAATACAATAAATGAGCATAATTAATACATTAAAAAATATATAAATAATATAGTGAGATCATTTTTATTGGCTCTTCTCTTATTGGAGGCCTTAGGCAACTGCCTTAATTGCCTCAAGGTTTGCCCGCTCGTGACATTCCACCCCGAATAACCATCTCGCTCCATTCCATTTAGAATGATTTATAAAAGTGGTTAAATGGTTTGGGGCCTAGTATGGGGTTAGGATTAATAACCCACACGGTTACGGGCGAGGATGGGGAAAGGTCGCCTCGCCTGCCCCATTTATACAAATAAATTATAATTTTGCCCTTATAAATACTTTATATTGAAAAATATTAGATATATATTAAGCAAATCCTATGTCTTTTTGTATGATTCTTATTTGAGAACCTCTATTTATTATTCTGATATTTCTACATTAATATTAAATCTCAAGTTCGAATTCAGAATTTGAATGTTGTTCTTATTCACACAAAAAAAAAAAATATATGTACTTCATTATTTACATTTGTTAGATTCAAAATACAATTATAAGAATACAACTTAACCTGTCTCCCCGCTCTGTTTAATAAACAATCTTGGATGGGAATGAGGAGTTATGCCAAATGAGGAAGGGGATGGGTTGGGGTTCCTAGCTTCTTGCCCCAAACCCACCCATTGCCACTCCTATGAACAAATGAATATCTCATAGTCCACTATGAGACATATTATTTAAATACATGTCTCACTTACCCCAAGTAAGGTGCCAATCGATCAGATCCAAACCTAACCTATACTAAGTTAGCGACGAGCTTAGTGTCACGGGCCTAGAGATTTGGCGCAGCGGCACGGTCCGTGCGGCACCAAGGCGTTGCTTCAACTCGCGCAAGCGCCCTGACCAGCCACCATGACCTACCCTCCCAATGATACATGCTGACTGGTTTTGGCCTGCCTTAACCTCGTCAGTGGAACGGCTCCAGCTCCCGACCAGTTTGTGTAGGGATGGCCAACTCCCTTCTTCAAAGTCAAGTCCACGACTAGCGACAAACACCTCGAACTGAACCGAGTCGACCTGCCTGAACTCTGAAAAGGTACCATCTTGAGGTCCTACACGCCCCTTCCCTGGAACCATTCCCAATTAATGAATGTTCTTAGCTAACCAGCATGCGTGTCTTCTATGCTCATGGCGTCGTTAGGAATCGGAACGTGACATTCTCCCCCACCCAAATCCTGCGACGCCGTCGTCGCAGTGCGGCGCTAACTCCATTGCGTCCAACATTCCAAAGTCTCTCTCCTCCGAGTGGTATGCTCGCCTGCCCACCATCACTTCCTTGTACAACCCCTGGCTGCACTCGCCCAATGATAGGGTTTCAGGCTAAAAGGACGCCCACTTCTTCGGGACGCAACCCCACGTTATGCCGCCTCCGCGACACCCCGAGCAAATAAGGGCCCTTCGGCTGACTTGATACCCGCCCTTCACAACAGTTTGCACGCTTCTTGAATTTGCAAGAACTTTGGTGCGCGCGGCCCTCCGGCCATCCGATGCGCGCAGCCCTCCGGCTTCAAATGACGCCTCTTCATGGGGAGATGTAGGCTCTCCTCCAACAGCATTGATTGCCCATCGACGCTTTAGTGCACCCACTTCATTCTCAAGACCCCCGGATCGACAAGGGGGCACACATTTGTGCTTTTCCCCAAGTCCTGCTCTAATACCATTTGTCACGGGCCTAGAGATTTGGCGCAACGGCACGGCCCGTGCGACACCAAGGCGTTGCTTCAGCTCGCGCAAGCGCCCTAGTCAGCCACCATGACCTGCCCTCCAAATGATACATGCTGATTGGTTTCGGCTTGCCTTGGCCTCGTCAGGAAAACGGCTCCAACTCCCGACCAGTTTGTGCAGGGATGGCCAACTCCCTTCTTCATAGTCAAGTCCACGACTAGCGACAAGCACCTCGAACTGAACCGAGTCGACCTGCTTGAACTCTGAAGAGGTACCATCCTGTGGTCCTGCACGCCCCTTCCCTGGAACCATTCCCAGTCAATGAATGTTCTTAGCCAACCAGCATGCGTGTCTTCTATACTCATAGCATCGTTAGGAGTCGGAACGTGACATTAGGCTAGGTTTGGTTTTTAAGCTCTTGAATAAAATGAATTGCTAGGATTTATCACAAAAATCTAATATAATAAAAATAATAAATACAATTATATAACAACACATATTAACTTCGGATTCCAAACCTTTCACCCAAGCAAGTCCAAAATGGGCTAAGGTTGAGAAAAATTGAGCCTAAACCTAACCCTGACATTGAAAAACCAATCCCAAGCCAAACTCAGACTGGGTGAGTTTTTTTTTTTTTTTTTTTTTTGGGGGGGGGGGGGACCTTTACCCATGCTTGAATTCAAGGCGAGCTTCTACAACAATATGAATTGAGCCTTCTTAGTTAACGCTTCAATCTGTCCAAATTGCATCCCTAGTAAGAGAAAAATACTAAAAAATACTCTAGGAGAGGCCTAAGAGGATTCAAACTCCCAACTTCTAAATATGAGGTGAGAGTTTTTTCATTAAGCTGTCCGTATTCACAAAATTAAAGGCCCTCATGATTAGAAATTTTTCCTTTTTCTTTTATAAATTTTTTGAAATGACTCCAATTGAGTTTTGCAAATAACTCCCACAATACTCTTGGGGAGATTCGAGTCATCTACCTTTCACTTTGAAAGAAGATATACCACTAGACCACTACTCCAATCATTTCTTCTGTTTGATAGGAATATTAAAGTAAGAACAACCAAATCCAAGTCATTCCCTTGAAATAGAAAAATAATGAAATTTCACTCCACATCTTAGCCTATGGATTCCATTCTTAGTAAAAATAAAAAATCATTGACCAAAAAAAACATTCATGTTCCATGTCTTGTCGCCGCCGTTTTCCTCCACTTCCTTCCACCACTAGCACACCGCCACCATTACTATTGCCTTGTTCCACCGCCATCGCCACTACTGCATTCCACCACTACCACCGCCACCTTCCACCACGACCATCACCACTACTGCTTTCCACTACTACCACCACCACCATCGCCATTGGCACCTTCAACCACCACCACCAAAAATAACATTGTCACTCCACCACCACCGCCACTGTCGTCTTCAATCGCCATTAACAACGCTGCCTTCCACCACCACCACCAACACTATTGTCGTTGCCGTCTTCCTCCACCACCATTGTCGCTTTCCACCACCACTGCTATGGTCATTTTCCACCATTACCGCTGCCGCCTTCCACCACACCCACCTCCACTACTACCATTACCACCGTCGATGCCACCTTCCACCAACACCCCACCTTGACCACCACCGTTGCTGCCTTCCACCACAACCACCTCCACCACCATCACAATTGTCGTCGTCGCCTTCCACCACTACCGTCGCCATCACTGCCTTCCACGACCACCAACATCGCCACCTCCACCACTGCCACCACCACTATTATTATTTTTAGTTTAATTTATTTCATTCTAGGTTTTGAATTAGGTTTTCATTCTAGGTTTTAAACT